CACCACGGGCTCGGCTCACTTTTAGTGACGTTAAAATTTAACAGTGAATTCAAATGTTGTCAGCCTGTTTCATTCATTATAAAGTTTTTTTCCCATCAGGCTTTTACTTAATGATGTTTTTTTTTTGGTGGCTGGCTGGTACAGACAGGGATTGGAACCCTTGACCTTAGTGTTACCAATACTACACTATAAACAATTGAGGTAAACAACCAGCCCACACCTAATGATGTTAGCAGCAAATAATGATTGTTATTTTATTAGGGCTTGCAAAATGATGATTTTCTAATTATATTATCCCTTCAGCATTTGTTCTATGATTAGTTTCCAAAAAAGAACTTTTTCTCTTACCAGCTATTTGGTTCCCTTAAAATACAGTCTGTACAAGAAAAACATTCTCTTTATCAATTTTTAGAATAACAAGCTGTTGCCTCAGCAACTTCTCAAGGTGATCAGTGAGTTTTCTTTTTTTAGTGGAGTATTATGAATTTACAGATTTGGTAGTAAAATGATTCCATCTTTGGTTAGTGAGAGCTTCCTCAAGTTGGCTTCTGTGTCTTTTTTTTTGCTTTTTCTATTTTTATCATAAATTTTAAGCATACCTAAAAATGGAGAGAATAATAAAACGCAACCTTAATGTGTAGGATAGATTTAAGATACAGTAATTATCAAGATTTTGTCAAACTTGCAAAATCATTTTAAAAACACAACATAGAGTCTTACCTTTTTATTCTTCGGTCTGTAACATTTCCCATACACAGCAATCTCTTGGGCCCAGAAGCACTGAATCAAGACTGCCTCAGATATCTACCACCTTACAGAGTTGGATTTGTACCACAATTTTCCTACTCGTGGACAATTATGCTTTCACTCTTACAACTGCATACTACAGTGAACATCCCTGAGCCTGTTTCTCTATGCTTTTATGTCTGGGAGATTCTCTGGGTATATACCTGGAAGTAGACTTGCTTGGTTGTAGAATATGCTTTGTTCAACCTTACTAGATATTACTAACTGGCTCTCCAAAGTGATTGTACCAATTTACATTTTCCATTTTTCTGGTTCTCTATATCCTTACTGATACTTGGTATTACTATATTTCAAATTTTTGCTAATCTAATGAGTAATTGTTTTTATTTCCCTATTTAATAGTGGGATTTATTTATCAGTCATTTATTCACCAAGTAACTTATTGAGCACCATGTACCAGGCATTGTTGTAGGTGTTTGGTTTACATCAGAGGTTGAAACAAAGACCCCTGCCCTCATGGATCAACTGGGAGGGGACAGATAATAAGCAAGAAGTGTAATAAATATAGTGAAGTGTTAGAAGGCGAGAAATGCCGTAGGGGGTGTCTTAGTCTATTCAGGTTCCTATAACAGAATATCGTAAACTGGGTAGCTTATAAACAACAAATTTATTTCTCACAGTTCCAGAGGCTAGAATGTCTAAGGTCAAGGTACCAGCAGATTTGGTGTCTGGTGAAGGGCTTGTTTTCTGGTTTATAGATGGTACCTTCTTTCTGTGTTCTCACATGGTGGAAGGGACAAGGCAGATCTCTGGGGCCTCTTTTATAAGGGTACTAATGCCATTAATGAAGGCTCTACTCTCATAACCTAATCACCTCCCAAAGGCCCCCACCTCCTAGTAATGTCCCATTGGTGATTAGATTTTAACATATGAATTTTCAGGGGACACAAACATTCAGACCATATTTAGCACGGGGAAGACCTGTTTTCTCCGTGCAGGTTTTATGCTGCTTCTATTAGGTTTTTTTTTTTTTCCTAATTGTTGCTACTGGTATATCTTAAAATCACATTTTCTGATAGGTCATTACTATTATAAATGAATGCTTCACTGTTCACTTTTTAAAATATTGGTCTTTTTCAGCAACTCTTATTCTAATACTTCAGAGGTTCCCTTAGATTTTCTATGTAGCCTTTTCTTGTATCTTTAAGTGATAGTTTTTATTCTCTTTACAGTCTTTATGCTTTATTTTCTAAGTGTTTGAATTTTTTATACATATATTTTTATTAACAGACTTTATTTTTATAGAACAGTTGTAGATTTATAGAAACATTGAGCAGATAGTACAGAGTTTATCCTCTCTCCCCCAACCCCACCTTATAGTTTCCCATATTATTAATATCTTACATTAGTATGGTACATTTATTACAACTTATGAACCAATATTGATATATTATTATTAATTAAAATGGTAGTATTTTATTATTATTAATTTTATTTTATTTTGTTAACTAAAAAATTAAAAGTCCATAGTTTATTCAAATTTATTTAGTTTTTACCTAATGTCTTTTTGGTTTTTGTTTTTTGGTTTTTTTTTTTTTTGTTCTAGGATTCCTTCCAGGATACTGCGTTACATTTACTTGTCATGTCTTCTTACGCTTCTCTTGGTTGTGACATGTTCTCAGACTTTCCTTATTTTTTTTTTTTCCTTTTTGTCTTTTTTACTGACCAGCAACGGGATCGCAACCCTCGGTGCTGCGCCCGCACCTCGCTCAGCCAGTGAGCGGGAACCGGGCTCCACATGGGATCCAAACCCTTGGCGGGAGCGCTGCCGCACTCCCAAGCGGCGCACTCTCCAGTGCGCCACCGGGCCAGCCCAGACTTTCCTTATTTTTGATGACCTCTTGTTTTTAAAATTTCAATGCCTAAGAAATCCATAGAATTTTTTTTCTTTTTAAAAACAATTTCAAAATTTTGTTTGCTCTTTTTCAGTATAATTTTTAATAGAGTGAGAGTAGAGAGCCTTGTCTTTTTCCTGACTATAAGGGGAATGCTTCATAAATCTTTTTTTTTCAGTGGCTGGCTGGTAAGGGGATCCAAACCCTTGAACTTGGTGTTATCAACAGCAGGCTCTAACCAACTCAGCCAGCCTGTAAGTCTTAAAGTATGTTTGCCATGGATTTTGATAGATACCCTTTATTGGATTAAGAGAATTCTATTTTCTTTCTGATTTTCTCAGCATTTTTGTCATGAAAAATTATGGAATTTTATCAAGCCCTTTTTTGCATCTATTAGATCACATAGTTTTTCTCCTTTAATCTGTTTAATGTGGTAAATTACATGAATAGATTTTCAGATACTGAACTGTCCTTGCATTTAAAGTGCACCCGATCAGTATATTTACATTTACATGTCAGCATGCATACATATGCACCCATATGCGTACATATTCACATGTAACTATTACATACACTTATATAATATGATGGATTTGGCTTGGTAACCAATTAGGATTTTTGCATCTATATTTATGAGATTGGCTTGTAATTTTCCTTTCTTGTACTAACCTTGTCTGTTTTTTGTAGATAGATTTTATAGATTTTTCCTTAGCTAACTTAATATTATTATGTTCTAGTTGAACTTCAACTTTGTTTTGGGCCTGAAACAGATTCATTAAATATGGCTTCTGAAAATTCCGACTCTAATCTCCTAAATCTGAATTCTTTTAGTTTAATACTTAAAGTTTTGGGATTTCCTCATTGTTAATGCCTATGTACTGCCTGCAAAATTTATCATTATTTATAATGGTTATTATTTATAACCAAATCCCTTTGTTACTTTTAAGTGGGTGTTTAACTTTCAAGGAGTTTTGAACATTTTTGTGATTGGCAGCTTTACTAATGCTATCATATTTAAATTGTGCTTGACTTCTGATCATTCCCTGTTGGAAATAGTAATACCAGTATCTACCTCTGATATTTGTACCATAGTTTATTGCTTGTAAAGTGTGCTTATGTACATATAAAAGTATATTTATGTACAAAAAGTGTTTTATATTTTGGATCCAATCATTTGAAAGGCCCTTTACCACTTACACTCTTATGTATACCATCAACTTTTGTCTGAATTATTGCAATAATTAGACTGTTTCCTGTCTTGTTCCCTACCCTACCCTTCATCCCACACAGAAGTCAGAGTGATCTTTTAAAAGCGTAATCAAATCATATCCCTCTTATGTTTAAAATTCTAAATAGCTTCCCAATACTCTAGGATAAAATCCAAACTCCTTACATGACTTACAAACTCTGTTCCCCCAGTGCCTAGAACAAGGCCTTGCACGTAGTGGGCACTCAATATTTGTTAAATGAATGAATGGATGACTCATTCATTAGCCATTTTAGAGAAGCTCTCACTTGCCCAAGATCTCACAATTTATTAATAAGTGGCAGAGTCAGGATGAGAACTCCAGATCTCGTATTTACAAGTTGCTAGTCCAAGTTATATATTTCCAGTCCTCCAGTGGGCTCTGAACCAAACTGTTCTCACTGTCTTTTAGATTCTATGTACCTTTGTTAATTTGTTTATGCCTTTCTCTTTTTGTTTTGCCTTTCCAAATCCTGCCCATCCTCAGGACTTTCACTTAATTCTGCTCCCTTTTATAGAACATTTTCTTATGGCTTCAGAACCCTGTATTTTTTTTTTTTTTGTGGTGGTAGTGGTGGGTACGGTTGGGGAGTCTAGAGTATAAGTGGGAATGGAACTCTAGTAGATACCAGATATTGTACTACATGCTTCGATAAGCAATTTCGCTTACTTCCCACATGATTTGTGAGGGAAGAAGCACTGGTACTTAACGATGAGAAAACTTAGCCTCAGAGAGGTCTTCAGTTCTATCACGTGATGGGATATGTTTTATACATTAGCCACAGGAAAACTTAGGACTGTGACATAGTCTAAGGCTTCTAAGGTCAAACTTTCTATAGCTATGTGGCAGAGCTGGTGGGGAGCCCTTGGTCAGAATAGCCTTTCTGCCATTCTGTCTTAGCCTGTCTCATTGGGCCAGTGCCATAACTGATAGTCTGGCCTGTATGTCAGGATCACACAGGAGAAATAGCAGCAGGATGTTCTGTTTCTGCTTAATAAAAAATTTGACTCCAAATTTGACTGTACCTTTTTACAGGTAACTGTGATTTCCCGCCCCTTCTTTACTTGGGCCTCTATTACAAGTTTGGTTTTTTTCTCCTTTCTGCTTCTAGTATTCTATTCAAGAAGAAATCCAGAGGAAGCCGTTGCCCACTGCTGCCGCCCAGTGTTGTAAGTGAGAAACTCCTTTTTGAATCTCTTAATTGCAGCTTTCTGTCCTTTCTCTAAACATGGCTTATTTTGAGTTGCAGAGGGTAGAGATGTAGTGTGTGTAAAGAGAAGATATTTCAGAAGCACACCTGTTCGGGCGCATACCTTCAATAGCTATCTATCTATCTGCCTATTAGCTTTAGGAAGAGGTCTTTTGGTACTATGTGGTTGTAGGAAGGGCACTGGTGCTCATCTTTTTTCTTCATTTGCTAGCTTTTATCTCTGGGGGAATAAAATTTTACCCCCTCTATCCCTGTATACCTGTTGTTATTCTTTAAGGTTCAGTTTAGATATGACCACTACTGGGAAATCTTCCTGCTGTTTTTTTCCTTCCCCCAAGTCTAGCTTTGGTGTCTTGTCTTTCATTGACAAGAACACAGAGTTTTTGAAGACAGATATTCTTTCATTTTGTATTCCTGGTGTCTGGCTCAACTTTTCATGCACTTTTGATAAATGATTGAGTGAGAGAACTTGTAATTTCTCCTGATTAATTTGTCCAGATCACACAGATTGTTTCTTGAAATGAGCCATGCATTGGTGGTGGTAGTGGGGGGTGGGGGGTGTCAGCTGGCCGGCTAGTTCAGTGATCCATCTGAACCTGTGACCTTGGTGTTGTAAGGCTGTGCTCTAACCAACTGAACTAATCAGCCAGCCCTCGCTCATTGTTGGTATATTGCTACCTTCTCAGTTGCTCTCAAAACAGCTTGAGGAGGCATTAAAGGACTGACTTAGAGCCTGTTCTGCTTGACTGTGAGCTCTACTTAGAGCCTGTTCTGCATACTGTGATGTGTGTGTGTGTGTGTGTGTGTGTGTGTGTGTCTTTGTCTGTCTGTTGTGCTTCTTTTGTGTTGCTATAGTTTTTCTGAAATGAACTTCAAACTCCATAAGTTGCAGGTTGAAGGTGGTGGTGATGGTCATAGCACTTGTTGCAGTAATACTGGTAATAATGAGAACCATAGCAGCTAACATACATTGAGCTCTTACAGTATGCCATGTGCTGTTCTAAGAGCTTAAGTGTACTAACTTATTTAATCTTCACAACAACTCTAAGACATAGATTTTACTGTTGTCTCATTTTTCAGATGAGGAAACTGAGGCATAAAGAGATTGAGCAATTCTCCACAAATCACATAGCTAGTAAGTGGTGAAGTGTTCAAACATAGACAGCCTGATTCCATAGCCAATAATTTGAACCACTATGTTATACTGCTTCCTTCATATTGTTTCTGAGAAGGAAAACCTCTGTTCATGGTTTGTAAATCTGTTGGTTGCCTTCTGTTCTGTACATTCTATAAGACATTTTCCTGAGGAAAGTAAGACCAGTGGCAGAGGTCGACATTTCTCCTTTTATTTGAAGAAAATCTATTTTTCATATGATTTATTGCTAACTTTTTTTTTTTTTTGCTACTTAGGGTACAACATTTAGGGTCATAGGAGGCCAGAAGAAGCTGAAATGAATTCTATAGGTCCTTTCTAAAACTCATCGTAATGAGTTAATTTTGACCTTTTTAATCTATTAAACCTTTTTCTAGGACTGCTAATAGGAAGTGAAATGGAATGATTAAGATTTCACTTCCATTCTTTCCTGGGCCCGTTTGATGAAGTGCAGTTGAAGCATTAAAGAGCAAATGCCACCAGGGCTGGGGGAAATAAAAAGTCATAAATAACCAATAAATTTATTAATTCTCATACATTTTCATATGTTGACTATTTTTCTATGAATAGCTCATTCCGATCTTTTGCCTATTCCCTCATATATTTTTATTTAAAAAAATTTTAAACGTATAGAAAAGTAGAAAGAACATTACAATAAGCGTGCATCACTGTTTATCGGATTCACTAACATTTTCCCACATTTGTTTCTTCCCCACTCCTCCTCTTATTTTTCTCTCATATTTCTGTACCTATATGTGTCTTTATATATACATACGCAAAAACACATATATAGCCCATATTAAGAATTAAATTGTCCCCAAAATGTTTTTATAGCTTTTTCCCCCCTATGCTGTGATCTAATCAAGAAGCACATATTTCATTTGTTGTCTTGACTCTTTAATCTTTTTTTAATTAAAAAAA